TATGGGCTCCCCTCTGCTCCCGCTGCCCCAAGGGCCTCAGGAAGCGGCGCCTTCTGGTTGCCGGCTCCTTGCTGGGCTCGGCGGGGGCTAGCCTGCTGCTCACCCTCATCCCGCCCGCCGGCGGGGACGCGGGGTACCCGTACTGTAACACCAGCCAGCAACCGGGTGGCCGATGGGCCACCACCACGGGGCCCGGTCCGGGCACGAGCGGCTCCAGTGTTTTAAGCATGGGTGCTATTACAGACGCAAAAGCTGTGTCAAAAGAAAGAATGAAAACAACTGCTGGCGTTTTGATAGCAAGCAGAAAGCCAACAGTAACCAGTTCAGCCTCCCATGGATTACTTGGCCTGACAGATATGCTTGAAAAAGAAGGCAAAGGGGTTGGTGAAGGTGATACAAAGACAAATGGCTACTTGGATGGTCCCTCTGGCTGGACAGCTTCTGTGAAAGCAGTTAACTGGGAGATGCAAGAGCAAGAAGTGCTGGCTTCCTACAGAACTCCTTTACATGGTCTCAAGAAGGAAACGAGCCGTCTGGGTTCTGCTGCAATGGCTGTTGCTGATAATGCTAAAGAGGGCCTTTATGCTACTGTAAGTAATGAGCTCTCTTTGTTTAAAACAACTCTTCCTGCTGTCGGAGATGCTTATGTGTCTGGAAACCAGAAAGTCACTCAACACGTCAGCTTTGAGGCAGTGCAAAACATCTTTCAGGACAGAAAGCAGCAGATTTTTCTTATGGTACTGGGTGCTGTTGTGCTTTGGGAGCTGTTGACTACATCTCTCGAACGGACAGTGGATGAGAGTCTCTATGAATATCTCGACTTCATTGATGCGACTGACAGGTACGGCAAGCTGTGGATTTGGAGTTACGTGGGTGCATCTATAGGCGCCTGCAGCATTGCTGTATTCGTGGATCAACTGAATTGCTTCTTCAGCAGTACGATCAGTCGCCTTGCTGTCCATTTCTATGGCTACACGCTCCTGATAACACTCTCTTTGCTCGTCAGTGTCTTTTTTCCTGTCCATGTTCCCAAGAGAACCAACTGTGTTAACAAAATTGCCAAAGCCCTGGCCCTCCTGTGGGGCGATGGGCAAGCGATCCTGTACGCCATCACAGTCTTCCTCACTGGCGCAGCTGGGTCTACAGTGCAGAACTTTCTCTTCTGGCTGATGCAGGACCGAGGCAGCAGTGAGCTGTACATGGGGCTCTCTGTGGCCGTTGGGCTCCTTGCTGAAATTTTGCTTTATTTCTTCAAGGGGAAGTTACTGAGGACTTTATCGAGCAGCAAAATCGTTGCAGTCAGCCTAAGCCTCCTGGCAGTACAGCTTCTGTGCTACTCCTTCTTGTGGACTGCGTGGTCAGTTCTCCTTATCCAGATTTTATCCGCCTTCAGTAGTGGTGCTCTGTGGTGGGTGGTTAACATGACGGTGGATGAAATAGCCACTCCAGGCATGGAGAGGTACCTGCACACTGTTCTCCAGAGCCTCTGCTACGGCGGAGGAGCAAGCTTGGGCAGTTTTGCAGGGGGATTTGTCGTGAAGCACTTTGGCCTGGCAGTTCTGTACAGGGCATGCTGTGTGTGCCTGGTGCTGTGGCTCTTCTTGTTCTTAATTGTTCAGTCTAAATTGCCACAGCAGAAAAAAATTAATTATTCTCGTCTCCTGGCTGCTGATTCCAGCGATACGAGTGACACTGATGAGGAGAATGAAAGGGACTGGCTGGTAAAAGCCATGAAAGATGAAAGCTTTACTAGGAGATGGTCACAACAGCAGGGGACCAGCTAATGTGTACTTCAGTGTAGGGGGTGGCACGGTAATATGGTACAATGACAATGCCCAGAAATGACCATTAATTCTAAAGTGCTAAAAATATAAAGTATATATCTGACAGGACACATTTTTATTTTAAAAATTTTATAATTTTTAAAAATTTTCTTAATTTATAGCATTCTTGTAATAATTTTTCCTTTTTAACTTAATGATTTTGCTTCCAAACTCGTAACAAGGTGTTTCAGGTATACATTTGCTGAAATGAATGTGTCTTAACTTTTTAGTCCAAAAACAAACTCTCTGCAGAGCAGATGCTGTGGAAACTGAGCAAAATCTGTGACCTGTACTTTGAGACAATTGAATGAGAAATACTGCAATGCTAGTAGCACGCTGTAATTTTTAAGGTGCTATATCTGTGAACTCTTTTCACTGAAAAAGGGATTGAATAAAAAAATGGTTCATTTGCTCTGCTTTGATTTGTAAAATCAGGTTTTGCTACAGACTGTCTGTCCACTCATGTTTTGGGATTTAAGTGTGCTTCTGCATCCACATCTATTGGAAAAAACCCACCGTGTCTGCTTGCAGTCAGTGCCTGCGGGGTGTCCAGATCGAGCGGAGCAGCCTGTGGACTTCCTTGTGTTCGTGTACCTAAGGTGGCACCCAGCATTCAGCTGACCAGGAAGTGGTCTGCCCTCACTGCTGGAGTAACTTCTCTGGGCTGGGAATTAACGTAGGGCAATATTCATTCAGAAGGAACTTGGCACTGCCTGAGCAGATCTGGTTGAAGCTGGCGATCCTCCCTGGGTCAGTTTGGTCTGAGGGCTGCTGTTTTCTCACATTTCCTGTTCAGAACTAAATCTGTGTCCTGAACGAGGCCTGGTAAGTCCAGAAGGATCTCGAGCTGCCATATCTGCCTTGGCTTAACCTCAAAAGCACACAGATTTCTTCAGTAGGTAGGATTTGCATACAGATGATAAATTGGTGGCCTGATTTCATTAAGAGTTGTCAGACCTTCAACAGGGCTGGCCGAGGAGCTTTGAGCCTTACAGCCCTTTAAGCTACCATGCAAAGCTGTTGTCAGTTCATTGGGTATTTCCTTGGTCAAGGAACTACATAATCCCATTGCAGAGGCTAGATAGGTTTTTATAACATCTTCCTAGTGTTTTACAAGCCATGAGACAGGCAGCTGCAAAAAGCAGAATATTTATTTAAATGCATGTTTAATACGTAATATGCAAATGGCATTGCAGTCTGTCACCCTGCTGCGTTCTGGACTCAGTAGAAAGTGGTTGGAGACAAGGAAAAGCAATGCCATTGAAGATAATTTCTTTCTCTGTATGCATCGAGTCCAGATTATCTGTACATCAGATGCTTTCAGGGTAATTAGCTCTGTTTTCCTGGCACAAATCCACAATGCCATGCAAAATGTTCTACTAGAATGACTATATAGATAGAGTTGTCCTTGTGCCAAGAATAGCTGGCACTTTTTATTAAGATATTACCTTCTCCCGGGAATTCAAACTCAAGCTGAGAACAATTTTAGTGTCAAGAATTTTCCCCAGACTTATTATCATATAATACCTCAGGAACTCTAATTACTTGTTAACAGAGTATCTGAGTTCAGTCTTGAGTAACGTAACTGCAAGCAGCACATCACAGAGCCACCAGCGCTGCTGCCAGATGAGCACGACAGAAAGGACTGGAACGGTTTAAAATGTGGTTGCTTCTTTAGCTAGAAGTGACTGCCCTCATTTGAAGCCAATTAAATGGGTGATGCATTCTCTTTTTATCTACTTCAGCACAAATTCAGCTGCTACAATTCCAGTTTTGCAAGGAGAAACCTTGAAACGGAAGGTGCCTGTGCAGTCTGTCCTGCGACGGTGGCGGAGAAGCGGTAAGGGCTGCCTGGCAGAGCCGTGGTGGGACCTGAGCTCTTACCTGTGTGGTCATTTTGGCCATGTATGTTTAGGTCTGCTCAGCCAATGCCCCTGTGACCAGGGAGGATTTAAGGTATGGCATGAAGCATAACTTCAGTGTCATAATCTTGCACAATAAGATTTTAAAAGAAAATTATGAATCCAATGAACGCATTTGGTGCTGATTCCGTTTGAAATATGTTCTGAATTACAAACCACTATGGAAGTGTCAGAGGGCTCATTCACCAAAGAAATCGCACCAGTTTGGTTAAATAATTTTTCACTGAGGTTTATACAGTTTCTGTCTATGAGCTGCACAACATCAGTGACTCACTTTCTTCATGTCTGATGGTCACAGACCCTGCAAACCAGAAGGGTAAGGAAGGGGGTGGACTTAAGTTGTTCTGTTTGAGATGACTTTGCTCTGAGCACAGCTTTGTTGTTCTTGCAAAAGTAAAAATGTGCCAAGGCCTTCAATGCTTTTGAGAATAACACATAACTGAGAAGAAACAAACTGCCTTTGGGGAGAATAGATTCTCCTGATGTGTTTCTAACCACGTCGGCAGTTATTTTTGCATTACTTTGCAACTATTTGCCACGCTAAAAAATTATGTATAATAAAAATAAGTTTTTATTCTTAAACAGCAGTGGTAAGATTAAAAGTGATTATTAAAATCACATAAAATCACAGACCGTTAGGGATTGGAAGGGACCTCCAAAGCTCATCCAGTCCAATCCCCCTGCCGGAGCAGGAACACCCAGATGAGGTTACACAGGAAGGCGTCCAGGCGGGTTTTGAATGTCTGCAGAGAAGGAGACTCCACAACCTCTCTGGGCAGCCTGGGCCAGGGCTCTGTCACCCTCACTGAGAAGAAGTTTCTTCTCAAATTGAAGTGGAACCTCCTGTGTTCCAGTTTGTGTCCGTTACCCCTTGTCCTATCATTGTTTGTCACCGAGAAGAGCCTGGCTCCATCCTCGTGACACTCACCCTTTAAATATTTATAAACATGAATGAGGTCTCCCCTCAGTCTCCTCTTCTGCAAACTAAAGAGCCCCAGCTCCCTCAGCCGCTCCTCATAAGGGAGATGCTCCACTCCCTTGATCATCTTTGTAGCCCTACGCTGGACTCTCTCCAGCAGTTCCTGTCCTTGAACTGAGGGGCCCAGAACTGGACACAATATTTTTGTGTACTTCATGGTGAACTTGAAGCAGATTTCAGAGGCATAAATGTAGAAGTACTATTTTTATTGCCCCTTGGTGTCAGTTCAGGTCTGAGTTAAGCTGTGTCCCTCTTCTCTGAATACACTTACACTAACTGAGCTCAGGAGGCAAACCGTAGTTAGCGCTGAGGAACGAGTTCTGCACAGTGACAGTCTTTGTAGTGCTTGGATTTGAAATTTCACACAGCTCAGCGTATGTGCACTTTGTGAGAGGTTTCAAAGCTAAGTAAATCAGTTTTGTTAGATGAGACACCATCTCCCCAAAAATGACAACAGCCTCTTTGCTGATCGTGAAACAACCTACGGTCCTTGCAAGTACTTTCGGTGCACAGCTGGAGCAGCTGCTCTGGAATCTGAGGCACCTTATGTCACTTTTAAAAGATTTGTTCCCAAGTCCTAAGGGAACTGCCATTGCAGATTCTGTCTCTCTGGCAGTTATTTTGTGATGGGATGTTTCAAATGTTTCCCCCAGCTCCTCTCTGTGCGCCCCTCACATCTGCGATTGACTTAAATAGTGTAGCACTTTTAGAATATGAAATCAGGTAAAACTCAGTGGGCACTGATGTTTAAATGTTCATTTTTCTTGTGGATAGAGATCACCGTAGTAAGATCCTTTCCAGTGTTCTCCAGAGATCTCTATAATTCAGCAAACAGCCACAGCATGTTTCTTTGTGGACTGTAGTGAAATCTGCCCAGATGAATTCACAGAGAGGTTTTTGTATTTTTGTAAGGAGTCATTTCCCAAATTGGTAGATAAGGTCCGTTGAAGGTAAGTCCATTTAGCTGTAGGTTCACAAGAAGGGGAAAGTGACGTTTTAGAGAGCTGCGGAGTTATTCTGCATGGTCTGAATCTTAAAAGCAAGAGCTCTTGAATTGTCTTTTTTTCTGTGACGAGGTGTAATGCTGCTAAGATAACGATCCGTGCTGTCTTTGGTGCTGCTAGTAAAAGTATTGTTCATTTTCTTCGTCTTTAAAGTACAGACACTACATTCCCACTCTGATTTGAACTCTTAGGTGAATTAGGATTACAGCATGACACTGAAATCCTGTGCCTTTATAATATGGGTCCCATACAGACTTCTTAGAAGTATTATGCAGCTTCTGACCATTACTGGGATGAGCACTAAGTAGTACTAACGCGGGAGGGACAAGAGTCTGTCTTGAAATATCTTGACACTCTCAGCCTGGCATCTGTATTGCTGTGTTTATCAGGAGGCACCCAAGGTAAAGGAATCTCTGCTAATTTAGGCTGTACATTTCTCAGGGAACAGATAATGTTTTTCCTGCACTGTTTCTCCCTAGAGTCTGGTTTTGTTGTAATATAAATGACTTTTCAGGCCAAGGGCAAGTTTTTACTTTAAATTGGGTCTGCTGAGACCATAAAACTGTGAACCCAAATGTAGAGGTGAGTATGAGGCAACTTTAAAATTAACCTTTGCTTCACCTTTAATATTTAGAAGTCTTGCCTGGTGAAATCAAGGAACAGAACCTGTGGTTACCTTATCACGGCCTCACCAGTACAGCAGACAGGGAAGTTGTTGGTAACACGGCTTCATTTTTGAAACTGTGAGAACATTTCTACCTCTAATCAGGTTGAAAGGTCAGAACTGGGCAGGTAGTTACACCACTGAAAACAGTAGGCTTGTATTAACACAGGTTTTTTATTGTTAGTAAAAGGACTTTTGAGCCAGGAAATACAATTACATGTTGAAATAACTTTCATATTCAAAGCATGACTTGAGAAACATGAACCTGATTTTTTGACAAATCCTATGGAAAATAAACTTATTGAAAAACTCCAAACCAGTTATTCTGACGTGTACATCCGTCTGCAGGACCAGGCATTTAGGTACTGGGGACCACACTCCTTTGTCAGCAA